ACAGGAACACACTGCTAACAAGACCACACTGCTAACAAGACCACACTGCTAACAGGAACACACTGCTAACAGGACCACATTGCTAACAGGACCACACTGCTAAAAGTACCACAGTGCTAACAGAACCACACTGCTAACAGAACCACACTGCTAACAGGACCACATTGCTAACAGGACCATGCTGCTAACAGAACCACACTGCTAAAAGGACCACGGTACTAACAGGACCACAGTGCAAACAAGACCACATTGCTAACAGAACCATACTGCTAACAGAACCACACTGCTAACAGGACCACATTGCTAACAGGACCACGTTGCTAACAGAACCATACTGCTAAAAGGACCACGGTGTTAACAGGACCACACTGCTAACAAGACCGCACTGCTAACAGGACCACACTGCTAACAAGACCACACTGCTAACAGGAACATACTGCTAAAAGGACCACATTGCTAACAGGACCACACTGCTAACAGAACCACACTGCTAGCAGGACCACATTGCTAACAGGACCATGCTGCTAACAGAACCACACTGCTAACAGGACCACAGTGCTAACAGGACCACAGTGCAAACAAGACCACATTGCTAACAGGACCACAGTGCAAACAAGACCACATTGCTAACAGGACCATGTTGCTAACACAACCATACTGCTAACAGGACAACATTGCTAACAGGACCATGTTGCTAACAGGACCATACTGCTAAAAGGACCACGGTGTTAACAGGACCACAGTGCAAACAAGACCACACTGCTAACAGGACCACACTGCTAACAGAACCACATTGCTAACAGGACCACGTTGCTAACAGAACAATACTGCAAAAAGAACCACGGTGTTAACAGGACCAAAGTGTAAACAAGACCACACTGCTAACAGTCCCATGCTGCTAAAGTAAAGCGCTATGTGTCATCATTGTATGTTCCTATACAATGAGGAAATTACAGTAGACCCTCGCTACTTCATGGTTTGATTTTTGCGGATTCGCTATATCGCGGTTTGTCAACGCACATTAACATTTTTTTTAATGATTGTCAACTTTAATATTACTCATGTGACTCTGCTATATTAGTGCCGGCAGTTGTTGACTGGGGTAGGGGGGTTAGGATGCATGAGAGAAGTGAGGTTTGCTCTATTCACACAAGGAGAGCTGTTGGTCAGGCTACTACTTGTTGTGCCATTAACTCTAAAATCGTTATTGAATCAATTGTTTACACCGTGTAGGTAAATGTAGATGTTTAACAACCTGTTAAAATGCACCATAATGAAGGAAACGGTATCTACTTTATTCCAAATGTTCTGGGTGGGTGGGGGCAGACCCCCTCACAGCAGTGTGTCCCCCCTACATTACAAATGCTTCTGACACCAATGGAGTCAAAGAACTGACAACGGATGTAGCTCAATTTCTTCTTTTACAAGTTTGTAATATTACTGGTTATATGATGTGCAAAGAGTAGAAGTAGAAGTAGACGGTCTTTGGAGTTCCACTGCAGTCCAGGTTTACTGTGTTTTGCGTCTTTAAATAAAGCAGTATTGCCATAAATTTTCTGGCCAAGGGGGTCAAGTGGAGGTAGAGACAATTTTTTATGCGTCTACTTTGCGTACATCGTCATATTTGTAAAACGGATAAAGCCAATGTGTTACATAAAAGCTTGCTGTGTGGCTGCAGGCTGTATTCTTGGACGTGTACAGTTACAAGTCACACTGGATGGTCAACAAGAGCGAGAAAGCACAATAGAAATTCAGCTCATTTACCATTTAAGTGTTTCATCAATCAAAATGTGGCAGCAGGAACACTCTTTTTTTCCGGCAACGGGTGGCAGAAGGAAAATGAAATAAAACGCATCAATGCCAAACAGTGAACTTCCTGCTGAAAGTTGAACAGTCTGATGGGAAAAAACACTACGTTTAAATTATGCCAAGGCTTAAAAATCAGATTTGGACTTCAGAACTCTACGCTTCTCTTAATGTTTGTTTTAAAAAATACATAAAAAATGAATTGACATGCATTACACCTTAAGCCAGAAAGAGTTGCAAAACAAAACCAAGATTGTCATAACTTTCTTTGTCGTCCTCAGAGTTAAAGGCGACTCTTTTCATCGGCACAAGTCATTCTTAATTAAAAAGATATTGATTAGCACCGGCTTTAATCCAAATGATTATTTTCAGCCCTCAAGTATCAATCACTGAGCTGGACAGATCTTCATCTTTAATTAGGTTTTGATGAGCTGCTCAACGTGACAGATGTGGCTGGCGGCGCTCAGGCACACACACAGCTGGATGAATTGAAGGGTTTATCACAGAATAAAGCTAAATGACTGCTGGTAATGGAGGGTAATTTATCAGCTCACAAGAGGAGGTGTCAGTCATCTGCTCTGCTTGTATGTGACGGTCATACGGGACAGATGATGCTCCAGACGCCAGTAAAGACTGGCAGGTTTAAAGGAAAAGCTCTCGCCCCGTCCAATGACAGATTTACTCACAATGTCTATTTGGCATCGCATCAACAAAGAGACACTATCTAATTCTGATGTTTAGTGTGAACCTGCATCCTTTGATGTACGAAGTATCTGTGATGCTGACAAATTCAGCAACGACCCTGTGCTGCTTAAAAAAAATGTTCTTGTTGTGTTTTCTGTGGCTCAAGTTCTCTTTTTTTGGCAGAAAACCATCTGCCGTCTGCTACTGAAGGGAAGACATTTTGTTTTTCATGAAAAGTCTCCAAGGTGGTGCCAGACAGAAACAGCAGCAGTGAGAGTTAATAAGTGGAAAGACAATGACAGCTGTCACAAGTCAATATTATGAAGGTCCTTGCACAAACCAACCCTGCACACACACACACACACACACCGTTCTCTGAAACAGCAGCCTGCAAAATCAGATCCAGAGACGACGAACGAATTCCTAACAGACACTTTGAGCCTCGTGCATTGAGCTAAGAAATTAGATTTTTTTTTTTTTTTCCTGAGTGCATCTAAACAACAAACAAGCTTCCTATGGGTCACGTGCACCGACATGGAAATGAAGTTACATTTGTGAATAAATAAGCACCGCTTTTAGGATTTATTTGCTCTAGCTTAAAATGGTTCTTTCTTTCTTTTTTAATGTCAGCAAACGTATCAGCACGAACGCCCTGCAAGCTCGTTTCAACAACTGAAGTCGTTTTAGATTAGAGCCAGTAAAACAATAACTCAAAGTGCAGAATACCAATGAGCAGCAGCATTTAAAATTGGAATATATCCTGGGAGTTTTTTTCGTGGCTGCATATTAACAACAGTCTGTCCAAAACAAAAATGAGAGCCGGTCAGTGCTTGTTTTGTTTTGTTATACAAACTCCCTTAAAAAGGGGAAATTGTCCACTGCATTGTTAGAGTTAGTGGATCAAGAAAATGGATTAAATCATTTTAACCAAGTTATAACCAACTTTTCTGAAGTCAGATTCGATACTGTGAAAATTAATTCTAAGTTAAAAACAAACAGTTAAGGTGTGTGTGTGTGTGTAAAGTGTCAGTCAATATGAAGGAGCTGAGAACAATGAACGTTATTCCAGGTCTCTACAATCTTTAGTGAAGGGTTTATGATGTCGTCCCATCATTTTGTGTATTTTAGGAAGTGTAAAAGCTTTCGACGCAGGGCCTTTACTGGTGGGTCCTGTACCCAGTAAAAATCCCCTGAGACACCAGTTCTACTAAAATACATTAAGAGATTAAAATGCATCATGAGCCTATAGTACAGGCTCATGTGGGGTGACAGTGCAGAAAGAGGAGCGGAGTGGACTGCATTTTCTCAGGTCTTTTCATCCATCATCCATCCATCCATCCACGCATTTATGCGTAGATGGACGGATGGATGGATGATAGATGGATAGATAAATGTATATATACATTTATCTATCCATCTAT